TCAAAATTTGGTCATCAAATGTCTTTTCTTTTTGCAAGCTCAGTTCTATTTAGCTTCAATTCAGTGCATAAATTTGTCTTTTTATAAATTCTTGAAATACAACTAGGATAATTTTCATCATGGCTTTTTTTTCTCATAAAACAGTTAATCATCTAAAAGTGGTTTTGATTGAAATGACAAAACCAGCCTCTGATACATAATTAGAATATCTAATAAATTTTGATTAGAAACTTGCTTGAAATTCATGCCATTCCAGAGACTGAAAAATAAAAATTGATTTTAGTAAAAATGTTTTTTACAAAGATGCTTACACAAGATTGTTTCAGAACATAGAGTACTTGAAGCTTGAAGTGTTCCTGGTTTTATAAAGACATAATCCATTCATCTTAAGTGAAAAGTATGTATATATACTTTTCAAGATTTTAAATCAACCTAATGATGACCTTATGTTTCTATAAAAACTACATTTCACATGTAAGCAAGAGAAAAAATAACTTATTTTAGAAAATTTCAAACATATACAAAAGTAGAAGGGAATAATGAACTGCTGTGCAGCTCATTTGAATAAAATTAATGTAATTATTAATATAATTATCAACTCATAGCCAATCTTCCTCCATCTGTAGCTCCCATACCCTCCTCACTTATAGGTCAGATATGATTATTTTAAGCAAATCCCATGTACCATATTGTTCATCTGTAAATACTCCAATATGTTTTACTCACAGGTAAGAACTCTTCAAAATAATCACAATACTATTATCACATCTAAAAAAGTGGACAATTCCTTAGATTCACCAAATAATCAGTTTGTATTTCAAATTTCCTTGATTCAACAGTAAAATTTTAAGATAACAAGTCAACGATGAAGCCAACATTATGTTAAAAAGCATTGCAACAGGGCACCTGGGTGGCACAGTCAGGTAAACATCTAGGTCAGGTCATGATCTTGGGGCGGTGAGATAGAGCCCCTTGTAGCGCCCCGTGCTCAGTGTGGAGTCTGCTTGAGATTCTCTCTCCCTTACCCTTTGCCCCTCTCACTCGAGCTCTCTCTTTCTCTGAAGTAGGTAAATAACTAAAAAGAAATCACTGCAAGATTAAAGATACATACAGACGGGTTTTTTTTAAGATTTTATTTATTTATTTATTTATTTATTCATTTATTCATAGAGACACACACAGAGAGAGAGAGGCAGAGACACAGGCAGAGGGAGAAGTAGGCTCCATGCAGGGAGCCCGACATCGGACTCGATCCCGGGTCTCCAGGATCATGCCCCGGGCTGCAGGCGGTGCTAAATTGCTGCACCACTGGGGCTCCCCGATACACATAGACTTAAAGTGAGGGATGGAAAAACATTTGACATGAAATGGAAATGAAAAAAAAAGAAGTCAAGCTAGCAATAGTTACATCGGACAAAATAGACTTTAAACAAAGACTGTGTTGGGGCACCTGGGTGGCTCAGTAGGTTAAGCGTCCAACTCTTGGTTTCAACTCAAGTCATGATCTCAGGGTCCTGGGACTGAGGTCCATGTTGGGCTCTGCACTCAGTGTGGAATCTGCTAGAAATTCTTTCTCTCCCTCTCCCTCTGCTTCTCCCCCTGCCCCAGTGCTCTCTCTCTCTCTCTCTCTCTCAAGTGGATAAATCAATCTTTTTTAAAAACTTAAAAGCAGGGATCCCTGGGTGGCTCAGTGGTTTAGCGCCTGCCTTTGGCTTAGGGTGTGACCCCTGAATCCCAGGATTGAGACCCGCATCGGGCTCCCTGCATGGAGCCTGCTTCTTCCTCTGCCTGTGTCTCTGCCTCTCTCTGTATGTCTCTAATTAATAAATAAATAAAAATCTAAAAAAAAAATTAAAAGCAAATAAAACAAAGACTGTAACAAGAGACAAAGAAGGACCTTATATAACAATAAAGGGGGGATCCCTGGGTGGCTCAGAGGTTTAGCACTTGCCTTTGGCCCAGGGCTCGATCCTGGAGTCCCGGGATCGAGTCCCACGTCGGGCTCCCAGCATGGAGCCTGCTTCTCCCTCCTCCTGTGTCTCTGCCTCTCTCTCTCTCTCTCTCTCTCTCTCTCTCTCTCTATCATAAATAAATAAATAAATCTTTAAAAGAAAATAATAAAGGGATCAACCCAACTAGAGGATGTAATGATTGCAAAAACCATTGTAAGAGAGGGACTTCACGGGTACCTGGCTGGCTAAGTCCATAGAGCATGCAACTCTTAATCTTGAGGCCATGAGTTCAACCCCTAAGTTTGACCCAGAGGTTACTTAAAAAAAAAAAAAAAGATGGACTTCAGCATGACAATATGAGGGACTCCACAAACCCAGTCTCCAGTGAAATGTAAAAAGTATAAAAAGACAACCATTTACAGGATCTGGAAGAGGTCTTAAGGGTGTATGCAAATGAAGAAATAATCTAGTCAAGAAGATGCACTACAATTTTAGAAGACTGCATGATATTTCAGCCCAAACTATTCCCTTTCTCCCTATCTCCACTCCAGATTTGTGCAGCCGAGAAACTCAGAAACCTCTCTCCTCATTTCCCTGTTGGAGGGTTTCCGAGGTAAGGAGCAGGACGTAAGCATCCGTCATCCTGCACCAGCAACCTGTTGCTGAGGCTAAGTTCTGGCCAAGAGGTGGCGACTCCCTTCTTCTGTTCAGCCCCTGTTCATGGAATGGAGATTCTATGCTGATGTCACGTTGAATGTGGTCGTCCCTGCCTGGCTCATAAGGTGATGGTTTCACACCAGGAGAGGCAAGGTGCCTCCCATCCTTCACATGCTCAACTCCTAAATCTGGTGCAGCAGGTAACCACAGAGGCATCACTCAGAGAGAAGCACACCGTTGTCCCCACCCTAGCTCCAGAGCCCTGGCTCAGAGATTTGGCAGGGGGACAGAAGCAGGCTATGAAATGCATAGGTCCGTGGGGCGACTGGGTGGCTGCCTTAGGCTCATGTCATGATCTCAGGGTCCTGGGATCGGGCTCTCTTTCTGCCTGTACTCAATCTCTCCCCACCTCTTAAATAAATAAATAAATAAATAAATAAATAAATAAATAAATAATTTAAATAAAACATGTAGGTCCTAATCTTTTCTCGAAGGAATTTACTTTATTTGCAAAGAGGGTAGAGAAATTCAAGCCTAACGGTGCCCTCAAAAACAGTGGAGGTTGTGAAGAAAGGGAATTGGGAAAAGATGGGTAGATTTGATGAAGATAGAGGTTCAAGTGTAAGCCAGCTAGTTTGCAGGGGAGAACCAGAGAAAGAGACAGCTAGTTGGAGCCCTCCTGAGTAGGAACACTAAGTTCAGGAGTTACTCCTTCAAATGAGCCAAGCAGGAGTTTACAGAGCAATTTCTGCCCCAGGGCATTATTGTAAACCACAGACCAATCAGATGGCAATTAATGGAGCTTAACATCTGGATAGAGTCAGGTAAAGAGGTGTAGACAGCCCAGCCAACCCAGGGTGACATACTCCAAACCCCACTTCCCTACAGGGCAACATCAAAGGTTTAACATTTGGGGGCTGGGTGGAATGAAAGTGAGGGGGGAGTGGAGGGAGTTGGGGCTGGGGGGAGCTTCCCTAAAATAAGTCAGTCAGTCATTAAACAAACAAATCACAAGCCTGAGATGGGGAGTGGGGGTCCAGTACCCAGAGTTGCTACAATATATTATCTAAAATGTTCAATTTCCAACAAAAACATATGAGACAAGCAGAGAAGCAGGAAAGCAGGACTCCCCTCTCACACCGGAAGAAGGGGGCAGCAGAACTCCCCGGTGACAGTGGCCAGATGTTGGATTTAACAAAGACCTAAGAGTAACCATGAGGACACTGTCAAATTCAAATTCAGAGGCCAAGGTAGCAGGATTAGAAAGGAAGATGTCTGCTCCATCGGGGATGATGAAGGCCCCTGGTGGCGTCAAAGGGGACAGTTTTAGGGGTGCAGTAGGTAACCACGGAGGCATCATGGACTCAGAGCAGGAGGGTGGCTGGAGCCAACCAAGGACCGGGAAATGGCAGGTGTAGAGAGTGCGGATGAAGCCAAAGGTGTAGTGGCCTCCGTCTACTCTGGAAGGAGACTCCCAGCTGCTCTCAGCCAGGCCAGGGCCGGGGCAGCAGGAGGAGGGGACACTGAACAGGCAGATCTCAGAGTGTGAATCCAGGTTGGGGTTTTGCTGGCCAGAAAGCCAGGAACACAGGGAACCTGGGTTATGATGAGAGAGAAGCTCATAGGTCATCATCTTTCCTGCCTGGACAGAGAAGAAAGCTTCAGGGCTGACGTGCTGGGAGGCACGGAGGGGCAGAGAGGTGGAGGCTGTGTGAGGTCGTTGATGAGGAATGAGAACACCGGGCAGGCAGATGGGAGGCCTTGGTCTAAGCGGGGCATTAAAGGCATAGGAGGTGGACTGGAGTCATTAACACAGGCGGTGGGAAGCCAACTCCCACCCGGAGGAGCAATCCCACATGCACACTTCGTAAGGCTGGAGTCCAGACAGGTGGAGGCTGGGGGGGGGGGTGGGAGCCACGTTTGTAGGTTTAAAAATGAAAAGTTGGAAAAACAATAGTTGGCATTGAATGCCACTTTTTATTTATTTATTTTTAAGATTTCATTTATTTATTCATGAGAGACACAGAGAGGCAGAGACATAGGCAGAGGGAGAAGCAGGCTCCCTGCGAGGAGCCCGCTGCGGGACTCGATCTCAGGACCCCAGGATCACGACCTGAGCCAAAGTCAGACGCTCAACCACTGAGCCACCCAGGTGTCCCTTGAATGGCACTTTAGATCAGATGGACCTAACAGATACATACAGAACATTCCATCCAAAGCCAGTGGAATCCACATTCTTTTCAAGTACACATTGAACATTCTCCAGGATAGATTACACATTAGGCCACAACACAAGTCTCAGTAAATTCGAAAAGATTGAAAAAAAGAAGAAATGAATAGTGATTCCCCTTTTCTCCACGGAGAGACGCATTTAGTAGAGAGCAAACAAGGTTGGGTGTGGGATTCGCAGGCTCAGAGAGGGTCCAATGTTTTATTAGCCACTGAAGAAAGGGGAGAAGGTGCTACCAAGGGCTATGTAATATCTACAAGGATTTCGATGACTAAAAACCACAAAGATTGGGACGCCTGAGTGGCTCAGCCGTTGGGCACCTGCCTTTGGTTCAGGGCATGATGCTGGGGGTCTGGGATTGAGTCATGCTTCCGGCTCCCCGCAGGGAGCCTGCTCCTCCCTCTGTCTGTGTCTCCTATGAATAAATAAATAAAATATTAAACAAACAAACCACAAAGATTGAAACGAAAGACTTGAAACCATGGATTCTGTGCAGTGCCCGTCAAGAGGGTAGAGGCAAGGTGCAGCTCGCTCTGCCGTGGGTCTTGAAGTGAAGGGAGGAACCAAACCTTTGCCCGGGGCCCTCCTGTGATCCCCAGTTGGTCCCGGGGGGTACAGGTAGGAGACTGGAGCCTGAATGACCCACTCCTGCCCACAGGCGCAGGCCCCAGCTTCTCAGGATCCCTTGCAGTGGCCGGTACCTGTTGCTGCACCCAGACTTGCTGGCACACCTGAAGAACAGGTGAAGGCAGGACGTTCCTGGAAGGGACGAGTCCCTCTCTCATCCTTGAAGCTCCTGACCGCTGGGCGCTGGGCTGCTTCACAGGCTTTGGAGTCTAAGACCCTGCCCGGGGCCTCCTGAAAATAGACGGTCCCACCTGGGGCTCACTGCGGCGGAGGGCTCTGCTTCAAGCGCCCGGGGCCAGAGCTGCCCCTTCCAGGGGTGCCCTTCCTGGTGACGCCAGAGGCCCTGCCCGGCGGGTCAGGTGGCCTCCCCGCCGCTGAGAGCTCCAGGCTGGCCTGGGTTTGTAAACGGATCGCAAGGCGACTGGGGGCCCTGGCGGCCCGGCACGGCCACCAAAGGAGGGGAGCAACGGTCTCAGCTCCCCACACCCGTCCCAACCCGGCGGCGGCCCTACCTCCCCCGCGCCCTGCCCCCCCCCCACCTCCACCCAGGGTGGCTCCTCCACCCGCCCCGCCCCGCCCCGCCTCAGCCCGCCTGGAGAACCCGCCCCTCGTCTCCCCCGAACTTCTGCAAGGACCCGAGGTGCCAGGGCCAGGCCGACAGGTCCTGGGGGTCCTTCCGAGGGCACCGACCCCGCCGTCGCCCCCCCGCCCCCCGCAGGTGGCGCAGTCCCCCCGCGCCCCGCCCCCTCCCGGCACCCCGGACCGCCCGCCTGCCCTTGGCCGCCGCGGGGCGCCCGACCCAAGCCCCCGCCCCCGTGCCCGCCGCCCCGGCGCCCCGAGCAGAGGGACCCGCCCCCGCGGCCCCCGAGGGTGCGGCGAGCCGGGGCAGGAGGGGAGCGGCCGGACGGGGAGGCGCCGCGGGGGCCGGGGGGCAGGGCGGCGGCTCCCGGAGTCGGGCCCTGCGCACCGGGGCCTCTCCCCTCCGCCCGGGACGGCGGGGCCGGGGCCGCATGGGGCGCCCGCGCGGCCCGCTCCTGTGGCTGCTGCCGCTGCTCGCGGCGGCCTGCTCGGGGATCCTCGTCGCCCTGTACTGCTCGGCAGCGAGGCCGTACCCGGGGCCCCGGGCCGGAGCCAGGTAGGGGCTGCGGCGCGCTCGGCGGAGAGGGGGCCCCGGGGACGCGCCGGGCACGCGCGGGGCGCCCAGCCCGGGCCCTCGGCCCGCCCGTCGCGCCGGCCTCCCTGGGGCGGCTCGCGGCGGGGACCCGGGGCCGCGGCCCTTTGTCCCCGGAGCTGCCGCCGGGGGCGTCCGTCCGGCCTCCGCCGGGGTCCGGGAGGGGCCGCGCCCGGGGCGCACGGGCGCCTCGCTGCCCCGCCCCTCCGGGCCGGCTGCGTCGTCTGCGTGGGATCGGACAGCCCCGCCGAGGTGGGGACCCCTCGCTCTCTGACGTCACAGTTCTCTGACTCTACTTTTGGGGGAAGGGGGGCGCCCAAGGCTCCCGGTTCCAATTTTGCGGGGATTCTCAGCCCGGCCGCGTCTGCGCGCTCCCCGCGCCCCGCGCCCTGCTCCGGCCCACGCGCCGTGGGCTCTGCGGTCGAGTTTGGTGAGCGCCGTCGGGCCGCGACCCGGCGAAGCGAAGGGCTCCCCGCGCCCCGGGAACGGGAGCAGCCCCCGCCTCCATCCCCGGCCCCCTCGTGGAGCCCCCTCCCGGCCCCGCCCCCTCCCGCTCGCCGGGCGCACCTTCCCTGGTTTGCGCCCGGCCGGGCTGAACCTACGAGCCTGAGCCTGCGTTGCAGGCGATGGTGCCCGCCACGGAAGCAGCCTCACCAGGGTCTGGTCTAGCGCCAGAGAGGCGGACCCAGCGGTGCGACTGGGGCGGCGGCAGCCACCCCACCCCCTACCCCCCAAGGCTCGCCCACCCGCCTCTGGACCCGGCTTTGCCTCCAGAGCGCTTTCCCGCCTGCGCGCTCCTCCCCAAACCTTGCCCCGGGCGTCTTGGGGTGAAAGCAGAGTTAGTGGTCTGTTCTCAGGGAACATGGTCAAAAGACACCTAAAGTTGCAAAACAATAGGAAACACAGGCAACTCATTTTGAGCCCAGTCCCTCTAGAACAAAGGGTGCTCTAGCCGCTGGTACCTGGAGTTACATCACCTCCCCATACTCAAAAATTGCCTAAGGCAGGGGCTGAGAGGTTGCGGGTGTTAATTAAGAAAGAGAATCCTTTGTGAGTTTTAGGTCGAGGTGTTTTGAAACATATTTAAACATCCTTTGAAAGTACCTAATAAGCTTTAAATACGGGGTTGTTGAACACCCATTATGCTCAACAATGTGTTTAAAGTTCTTTCATCTTTGAAAAAGCGAGTACAGCCCGAGAACGAGTAGAGCCCAAGAACTTGTCCGTTTTCTTGTCCCCCTGCTGTTTGCAAGGTCGCTAACACCCCCCCCCCCCAGCAAGCCGAGTGGGCCCTGCTGTTGGTCCTAGGTATATGGTGCCTGGAGGGGCTGAGTGGGAGGTGGGATGGTCTAGGGAACGGGGTGCAGGCTGTGTGACTTCCCCACAGGGGACGGAAACCGGATGGCCTGGCCACCTGGAGAGTCCCAGAAGGGGTGGGGGCAGCATTGGGACCCCGTCTTACCTCACCTGAGGGCTCTCACTGCAGGTTAGAGAGTGGAAATGCAGCCCAGGATTTAACTCAAGGCATATATCTATACACATATATATATAAAGGTGGGGGAGGGGGGCAGGAGAGACAGACTAGTGAGGATAGATAATATGGGCTACCAGTTACCTGCCAGTGTCCGTTGTCAACGTTATTTTGTGAAAGATACTACATCTGAGGGTCACCTGGGTGGCTCAGTCAGTTAAGCGGCTGCCTTTGGCTAGGGTCATGATCTCAGCCCCTTGTCACATCAGGCTCCCTGCTTGGTGGGGAGTCCCCTCTCTTTGTAATCTCTCTCACTCTCTCTAAAATAAATAATTTTTTTTAAAGATTTATCTATTCGTTCATGAGAGACATAGAGAGGCAGAGGGAGAAGCAGGCAGGCTCCCTGCAGGACTCCATCCTGGGACTCCAGGATCACCCCCTGAACCGAAGGCAGACGCTCAACCACTGAGCCACCCAGGCATCCCAAATAAAATCTTAAAAAAAAAAGAGAGAGAAAGAAAGAAAGAAAGAAAAAGAAAGGACATCTGAGAGCCCAGAATTCCTAAGAATACAATCCAAATCGAGTAGATTTTGTTTTATGAGAAATGCACTGCAGTGGTACTTCCTTACCTGCAGTTTGGCTTTCCCAGGTTTCAGTAACCTCCCCGCCCCCCCCCCCCCCGCCCTGTACTCCCTGTCCCATGAAGCCAGGTCTGGCCAAGACTCCTCTCCATCTCATCACCATCTCATTTTGTCGTCTCCCACTGTCACAAGCAGGGGGTATTTACAGAGTAAGACATTCACAGAGACCACATTCTCATTACATTATGATTGTCCTGTTTTATTATTAATTATTGCTGTTAATCTCTTCCAGTGCCTAATTTATACATCAAACTTTGTCATACGTATGTCTATAGAGGAAAAAACAGCGTGTACAGGGTGCGGTACTATTCACAGTTTCAGGCATCCACTGGGGGCCTTGGAGCTTACCCCAAGGATAGGAAAGGACTACCGTACAGTCCTTTCTCCGAAGGCTGGTAAAATTTTGGGGAGGGCCACAGGTGGTCCGGCCCCCTTCCCTGCCCCATCCAGGTTCTCTAGGCAGGTGTGTTTAGAAGCCCTTGGATTCCTAAGAAGGAGGGCTGGGAGAAATCACTGACCACTGAGGGGTGCTCTGAAGATGAGCAGACCTCCCTGGAGCTGGGGTGTTCGGGGCAGCAAAACAGAATGGGGGTGGGGGTTCTCCCGCCCCTCCTCTGCAGCTCTGTCCCTCTCCAAGCTGCCCAGGCCCGCAGCTATAGCATCTGCTTCTCAAGCCTGGCTCACACTAGAATCATCTGGGGAGGAGGCCTAGACCAGTCAGATCAGAACTGCAGGGGCGGGGCCCTGAGCAGGGGTGTTTTTCAACAGCTCCCTGGCGGTTCTCACGGCAGGAGGCTGAGTACCGGGGTCCCAGTTCCTCTTCAAAGGTGGTCTTGTGCAGAGGAGAAGAACTACAGGATGGGGGGGACCTGCCATCAGAGGGGGAAAGGATCATCCCTGCTCTTTCCCGTCTGTCCCTCGAGGGCCCTATGGGAACCTGAAGTGAGGCAGGTGGCAAGCTCTCTGGTGGCCCAGCTGGTTCCGCATGTCAGAAGCCAGCAACAAGAGGCCTTTGTTTCCTTGCAAACCGCCAGCCCCAACGGTTCCCAAAGCCTGCCCACCTGCTTCCTTGTGGCTGTCAGGGAGAAGGCAGGAGTCTGGGGAAAACCTGACACCCTTTAGAATAAGCAAAGACCTCCATTCCTTCTATTTTGTTCGCTCTCATCCCTGATGCAGGGCTTGCCTGGGAGGTGGGAGTAGGGGTGGAGCAGTATCATCGGCCCCTCCCGACCGACCCTCCAGAAGGGATACTGTCCTAGAGTCCTTTCCCTGCTTCCTTTGGATAAGGAGAGCTAGCCTTTAGAGGACACTTTTTTAAAAGATTGATTGATTGATTGATTGATTGATTGATGAGAGACAGAGAGAGGCAGAAACACAGGCAGAGGGAGAAGCAGGCTCCCCATAAGGAGCCCGATGTGGGACTTGATCCTGAATCCCGGGATCACGCCCTGAGCCAAAGGCAGACGCTCAACCGCTGAGCCACCCAGGCGTCCCAGAAGGACGCTTTTCGTGATGAGATAATAGTCTCTGAACCCTCCCAACAATTGGATATGTGATGTGATTAACAATAATTATTAATCACTTGATTATATCCGCTATCCAGATGTAGACACCAAGGCTCTGAGAAGTCACTTCCCTAGATCCCAGGGTACAAACCTAGGGTGTGAGGCTTCAGACTCACTTATGCAGGAGGAGGCCGCTGGTGAGGAGCCGGGAGCCAGTGGCAGGACAGCCCACCCCACGGAGAAAGGGGACCTCGCCCTGTGGGACCTACCGCCTGCCTCTGGGGCCTTGGCAAGGAGCTCCCTCAGATGGTGGCCGGGGCCTGGCAAGCTTTCCTAGTGTATGTTTTCATCCTTGAACCAGATCTCACCGTTCTGTAAACTCCACATTTCTGCCGCTTGCCATGGGATTTCTTGATTTCTGGGTTTATAGAGCTGAGCAGAACATAATAATGTGATGATATTTTTTTTCCTATAGAGACAAACATGGGTAAAACTCAGAGCCCCCCCCCCAAAAAAAAATCAGAGCCCAGTAAGATCAAAGGAATGACATCTTTGACCCTGACAGGCTTTGTCAGCCCCTGGAGCTGAGTCGGAAGTCTCTGGGGGACAGCTCAGACCCCTGCTTTACTTCTACTTCTCCCCCAGGAACACCACATCGTCTCGGGGATTCTTTGGACACAAGGCATCAAATGCTGGAATGAGAAAGGTACAACGGTCAACTATTCTGGCAGTTTCAAGCATCTTCAAGTTAGCAGGGAGGAGGGGAGAAAGATGAGCACATGAGAACATTCTCATGAGACTGCTGGGTGGGAACTCTCTGGAACCCCTAAACATGAAATGATGAGCTGAGCAGCCAGCCAGACCTGGCCACCAGGGCTCCTTGTACCCCAGTAGCAGAGAAGAGGTGTAGCCAGGAGAAAAGTTCTTGGGAAGTCTTGTAAGTTATCCTTAAAAGGCCTGTGAATTTGACATTCTATTCAAAATGTCTCTTTTTATTTTTTTAAGATTTTATTTTTAAGTATCACACCCGCCATAGGGCTTGAACTCATGACCCCAAGGTCAAGAGTCACATACTCTACAGACTGAAACCCTCAAAATGCCTTCTTACTATAAAAGTTACACATTTAAACTATTCTCCATGGAGTAAACAAGCAAACTGCAAAGATGCTCCATGCTTGCCCAGGGGTTTGAGAACCTTCTAGGCCCTGCTCCATAACAAACAGTGCTGCCTCAAGCACGCCGCACATAAGTCACGTGGCAACCCTGTCGTGTAGCTTTTATAGATGACTGCAGCGAGGCACAGAGAGGTCAGGTACCTGGTGAAGGGCCACTCTGCGACAAGAGGTGGCATTGGCATTTGAGCCTCTGGTTGGACCCCAGAGTGTGGCTCTCTCTGAACCACAGAGGAACGATCTGTGTGCTGCCACTGAGCAGGATCGTGATTGGTGTTCTGGATTGATTCGGGTTTAAGAGTTGTGTTCAGTGCCCAAGAGACCAACCCAGGACTTGTTAGCTGAGGCCTTGGGGGAAAAGATTTCACTGCATGTAAAATGTAGTGACAGCTGAGCTGTTCAGAGACACAGCGAGTAGCCCTGGGCAGGTGAGAAGGGTTGTCTTGAGAACAGAGGCAGGGAGGACAGTGGGCCTGCAGGCCAAAGAGAAGCCTCAACCATCTCATGGGTGCTTATGAGTCATCTTCAAGTTTCCTAAAGCCCTGTGTGCACCTTGAGCTGCTTGATGCAAACTGACATATCCCCACTGGGTTAAAAAAAAAAAAAAAAAAAGATTTGAGGTGGCTTTTGGATACACATAACAAGGCAAAGATATAAAATAGAATCAAATGAAAAAATAACCGAAGGAGAAATAAAGGTAGGAGAGTAAGGTAAGTACATGAAAAGTGTGCCACAGGATGTAAGGGATAGGCCATAGATCTGGCTCTGAGCTTCCTAGTGGCCACAGTGACGAAGGAAATTTGCCATTATGTCCAAGAGATAATAGCAAGCCAACTGCCCAAGTGAAGCACAACCTTTTCCGATACAAAGACCGGAAGAATCTTTCCTGGCACCTCTTAAAGGCGGCCCTGGAAAACACCCCAAAGATGAACTGAATAGCAGTGAGATTGGTAATCAGCTCTGCTACAATGCTTGCTTTGAAAATGTGAATTTGTTCCAGGGAGATTGGTATCTTAGGAAACAATTTGAGCATAGCACAAACTTTGTGTTTGCTTTCGAGTGACTGTCATTGAGAACAATAGGGTTTTTTTTAAATAATATTTTTTAAAGATTTTTTTGAGAGAGACCATGAGCAGGGGAGGGGCAGAGGGAGAAGCAGACTCCCTGCTGAGAGGTGGGACTTGATCCCAGGACCCCGAGATCATGACCTGAGCCAAAGGCAGACGCTTAGCCGACTGAGCCACCCAGGTGCCCTGAGAACACTAAGGTTAAATGCAGAAAACCACACCCGACCGGAGGGGGCCACAGAGGAGTACACAAAACACACACGCATGCGCCCTTCGGATGCACACTTCACTGTGTTATAACCCTCTTTCCACTACTTCACAATAACTCACGAGCTGCCACCCTTCTGATGCCACACGTATGTTGAGTCTTTTCCAAGGTCAAGGACCATGTGTGTGTGTAGACCTTCACCGTGGGCTGCATGAAACCGTGCTTCCATCTCTGTGAGGCCCCTCTTTTGTTTTGGGCATCACTGACAAGGCTTTTTGAGTGTTGTGCTGCTCATCCCATTTTCCCAAAAGCCCCGTGGTTTTGCAGAGTGTGATGATCCATAGGTAACGTCATAGTGGAGATGACCGTGTGGCTCTCTCCTGCGTTGTCCTTTGATCAAACCAGAGATCCCCGGGCAGTGGGAAGGGTAGCCCCAGCCAGCCCCAGCCCAAGGCTGTGCAGGAGTCTGACATTGGGGTTGCAGGCCCATGGGGTTGGAGCCTGTTCAAGCACCTCCCCCTCTCGAGGCCCCTGCATGCACAGGCCCTGTGTTGATTCCTAGGGCTTCTTTTTTTTTTTTTTTAATTTTATTATTTATGATAGTCACACACACACACAGAGAGAGAGAGAGAGAGAGAGGCAGAGACATAGGCAGAGGGAGAAGCAGGCTCCATGCACTGGGAGCCCGATGTGGGATTCGATCCCGGGTCTCCAGGATCGCGCCCTGGGCCAAAGGGATCGCGCCCTGGGCCAAAGGCAGGCGCCAAACCACTGCGCCACCCAGGGATCCCGATTCCTAGGGCTTCTGAAGCAAATTACCACAAACCGGGGTGTTGAAAATACAAGAAACCAATTTTCTCCCAGTTCTGGACTCCAGAAATCCAAAATCAAGGGATTGGCTGGGCCACCTTCCAGAGCTTTCTAGGGAAGAATCCTTCCTTGCCTCTCCCAGTTTCTGGAAGCTCCTTGGCTTATGGCCACTCTGCTCCAGTCTCTGTGTCTGTCCTTACATGGCTTTATAAGGACACCAGCCACTGGGTTAGGGTCCACCCGAAACCAGTATGATGTCATCTTAATGAATTACATCTGCAAAGACCCTATTCCCAAATGAGGTCACATACTGAGGTTCTGGGCAGACAGAGGTGGTGGGGGACACTCTTCAACCCAAAACAGGTACCACCGAGGAGAAAATGATTGAAATCTTCCCAGCAGCCCATCCCCCACAAACCTTATGGAGAGGACTGCCAGAGCTAGGGTTTGGATCCAGGCTGATGGATTCTAAAGCCCAGGCTGGAATTCCCCACCAAAGGCCAGGCGGGTCTTACCCATTTTGTGGAAAAAAGCCCCCCAATTTCCCTAAATGTGAAGTGAAGGAGCGAGAGGCCTGAGCCATCAGCCCTGCATAGCTGGCATCCAGGAGAGAAAGGCCTGGGCGGGGTACGTCCAAAAAGCTCTGCCCCCACCACACTGCTGTGCTACAGGCCAGCTCAGCTGGCAGGTCTGGGGGATCCCAAGTCTGGAGGGAAGGGAAGCTCCCCCCCAGCCACAGCCCCCATAGTGGAGCTCAGTACTCTTATCTCCTGCCCCACAGAACCCGCACTGCCGACGCCCACTTGACCTGGCCATCCAGAGGCACCCCCACTTCCGTGCCCTGTTCGATCTCTCCACTCCAGTGCTGCTATCGGGGGGCCTCTTCACTCAGGAGCTCTGGGACAGCCTGAGCCAGCACAAAGCCCCCTACGGCTGGCAGGGCCTGTCCCACCAAGGTAACCTGCAGCGGCTGCTTCTTGCCCAGGCCTCTGGCCCCAAGAGAATCCCTTCCTGTTGCTTTTAGCCTTGATGTAAGCCCTGCCCTCACAGCATCTTTTGGGGACACCCCCCACTCCCAGGCCCATTTCCTCCCAGGAAGGTCTCAGGGCTCGACCCCCTGGGCTGTGTGACTCCTGCCACACCGACCGGCCCCTGCAAGCACCGTGGGGTCAGGGAGACGGGCTTGGGTGCACCCGGCGGCCACTCACCTGGGGCTGCTGTCCAGAGGTGGCAGACAACAGGAGCTGTGGGGCCTCAGACAGCCCGCCCATGGTCCCTGCTGTAGGACCCCCAACCCTCACGTGCCTCGGATTAGTTTCTTGTGGAACATAGAGGACTCGGTATTCGAGTTCTTGGGGTGACTGAGGGTAGAGCCAGGCCTCTCCCCCTGCCCTCCAGGCCTCGGAGGGGGGTGTCAGGCCCGTGGCAGGTGGCATGCCAGAACAGCCTTGGGACAGCCCCGGCCCACACGACAGCCTTCCCCATGGCTCCCCGCCTTGTCTGGCACCCACAGCCATCAACTCCACCCTGAGCCTCCTGAACGGCTCCGAGAGCTCCCAGCTGTTCGCCGCCTCCAGGAAGCCGCTTTCAAGCTGCATTCGGTGCGCGGTGGTGGGGAACGGGGGCATTCTGAACGGTTCCCGCCAGGGTCTGAACATCGACGCCCATGACTACGTGTTCAGGTATGGGTGCAGGGGGGGTTAGGGGGGCGGGGGGAGAGCCAGGCCCCCAGCTGCCCCGGGGAGCGGGCCGCAGGGTGACGGGCACCTGCCTGGGCCGCGGCCCGTGTGCAGACCCTGAAGACGGAGCGAGGGGGCCGCATGCCTGCCAGGAGGAGGCCCCCCCCAGGCTGATGTCCCCTGAGGTCCGGAGGAGTAGGGTCGGGCTGGATGGGGACAGGTGGGCGGCACCCCGGGGACGGGCTACACATGCAGCAGGGCTTCTATCTGGACCAGACTCAACGGCGCAGTGATCAAAGGCTTCGAGAAGGATGTGGGCAACAAGACCTCCTTTTACGGTTTCACTGTGAACACGATGAAAAACTCTCTCATCTCCTACTGGAACTTTGGCTTCACCTCCGTGCCGCAAGGACCGGTGAGGCTCCTGATGGGCATGGCACTGTCACGGGCGGTCAGGGCCACCGTTCCCAGAGGCCCCCCTCCACGGGCAGACCGCGGCCCCCACCCAGGAGATGGAGAGGCTGGGCTGGGTGCATGTGAGGAGGGGCGTCCCGGAATTCCGGGCGGCACAGGACCCCTCTGGAGTAGAGCGTGGGTGGCTGGTGCTCACTGAGCCCATGGGGTGCCGGGCCCTTTACAGGATGCCACGTCCGGCCCGTCTTAGGAGGAGACTAAGCAAGGCAGCGGCAGGGCCAGGGGCCAGGGCTCAAAGGACTCCCACCCCAGAGCTCACGCTGCACCGGGTGGGGGGAAGGGTGTTTACTGGGTGCCTCCTCCTCTTCCCAGCGGTGGACGTGGTCGGCACAGCTGCCCATTTCCAGACGGCAACGTGTCTGTGCAAGGCCACCCCGCAGCTAAGATCATCAAAGTCCAGCCCCCTCTGACCACACCAGCCCTAGGGCTGCCTCCCCCTTCCCTGAGCTGCCTTCCTGATCCCACAGCAGCCCGTGAGGGAGGCTGAGGTTCAGAGGCGCAGAGCGGTGCCCAGCTCTCCGGGGAGCAGGAGCCAGAATTTGAGGCTGCCTCCTGCCTCCTGCCTCCGGCTTCTTTCAGCCACACCCAGTTACCAGAACACTGCTCCTCCCTTCGGGAGCTGTCTGGGTGCCACATGAAGAGGGGAGATCCCGGGATGAGGGCTCTGTGGTGCTTGATAGGACTGGGTTGAGTTTCTAGAAGCTTCCTCCTCTGAGCAGGAAATTCAGGAGTGTCCCAGCCACAGCAGGACCCGTCCTAGCTCACGTAGAACCACGCAGTAGGGTTGCTTTCCGGCCACACTACCTGTATGAGTCATCCGTGCGCTAACAAAGGACCCCGGACTTAGCTTCAAACAACAAACATTTCTCATCTTACAGTTTCAGTGGGTCAGGAATTCGGGAACAGCTTAGCACGGCGGTTTTGGCTCAGGATCTGGGGTGTTTGCCGGGATCAACTGGGACTCCGGGCACTTGAAGGCCTGATGGAGGCCGGAGTCCAGGTGGCCCCTCTCTGGGCTACTGGAGTGTCCGCAGGTCCTGGCAGCTCACTTCACCCAGCGGGAGGGGTCCCGGGGGCGGGGGCAAGGACGCCGCCGCACTGCCTTTGATGGCCTGGTCCCCAAGGTCTCACGCCATCACTTCCACTTCTATTCATTAGTCACTTGAGGGGATGGCAAGTAAGCCTCGCCTCCTGAAGAGTACCAAGAGATTCGTGACCACGTATTGAGACCCCCAAGGGGCTGAGAGTGGGGATTACAGCCAGAAATTCTCCCATTGGGGTGGGTGGCAGGACTGGGTGGAGGGCTGGGCAGGAGCCAAACGTGGTCGTGTTGGGGGAGGGGAGGGACACTGGCTCAGTGTCTCTCTTGCCCCCACAGGACCTGCGCTACATCTTCATCCCCTCGGACATCCGTGACTATGTGATGCTGAGATCGGCCATTCTGGGCGTGCCTGTCCCCGAGGGCCCTGATAAAGGCGACAGGTGAGCAGCTGGGCAGGTGTGGGGTGTGGTAGTGCTGGGCCCACTGTCAGGCAGGGAAAGTGGGTGAGGACAGCAAGAAAATCCCCCACAAAGAGAGTGTTGGGGAATTATGCTCTTTTTCTTTTCCTGCCCCTAGAAAAGCCCAGGTGACCATCCTGGTCCCCAGGAACCCGCCCGATGAGGTGGGCTGTGGCCTCGCAGGGCCACTTTTCTGAATGAAGCAGGCAGCCTGGCTCCTCGGCTTCCGGCTGCTGTCCCTCTAAGCAGCGCAGTCCCCCAGCTGGCAGCATGGCCCGGGCTGTCCACTCCCGGCTGTGGGGGCCTGCGGAGCACACTGTGTCTCGAAGCTAAGCGGGGGGCCGGTATCCATGCGGCTCATCCCGGCGGGCACCCTCCTGGGACTGTGCCCACAAAGTGGGAGAGCAGGTGACAGGTGCCCAGTGTCCTGCAAGGAGAGAGAACAAAGGACACTCTTTTCTCCCCCACCCTCCTGGGCAGCAGGCCGGTGTCCAGCTCTTTTGAACCATGTCCTGGCCTCGGCCAAACCTCCTCCCTGTGGCACAGAGACAATTTCTTGTCCCAAAGTCGAGTCCTTTAGAAATCCATGCCACCTCTGCAGCCACGAAGACCAGCCGTCCTATCTCAGTGCTCCTGGGACCTGCCCCCCCGCCCCCCCCCACGGCAGATTCTGAGGGCCTGAGGGGTTAAGCCCTCAGAGGCCAGGCCGGGGACTCTGGCCCGGCTGCACCCCACCCCCCGCCTTGTGACTAGCCAACAATCGCCCGTGATGATGCTGCAGCTGGTCATGAGGGTGGGCTTTGTGACCCGGGCGGGACTGGGCTCTTGGGGGGGCCGGCTCAGAGACATCGATCAGGTGGTCGTAAGCCTCCCCAACACCAATGAGCTCCCCCTCCCATACCCCCAATCCGTCCCCCACCCAGTCCCCCTCCCAGTCCCGGTCCAATAACATCCTCCCTTCCAACCAGCAGCCCTACTCCAGCTCTGGTGGCTCAGCCCCATCTCCGTCCGCCACCCGGGGGTCCTCCCGGCCCCCCTCTCATGCTCCCACCCCGACTGCCTCGCAGCCCTCTTCCCGGGCTTCGTCCCTGGCCCCCAGCCCCCACGTCCAACATGTACCCCGGGGGGCTTCCCAAACCCCTACTCCGCCCACCTCCAAATCTCCTTCCCAATCTGCCTTGAAATCCCTCTCGAGGAACTCCTCCCAGACTCCTCCGGTGCCCCTCGCCAGGTCCCCCTCCCACAGCCCCGCCACCTCCACCTCCTACATCGGGCCCGTTCCGGGCATCCCCTCCTACATCGCGCCCTATGTGCCCCGCTTCCTGAAGGAGCCCCCCTTCTTCCAGCCCCCGACTGCACCCCTGCCCCAGAACCAGTGCTTCCCCTGCCCCTTCCCCTGCCCGGCCCGGAAGCCGCCTGTCCCCGACTCCCTCTACTTCCCCCTGCTCCCCCCTCCTCCCCACCACCCCCGGGTCAACTGCTCCTACCCCACCCCGCCCGCCCTCTTCACGCCCCCCTCCTCGCTCACCTACACCCCGCCCACCGAGGTCCTGGTGGGCGGGAAGCCGCACGTGGTGCCCACCGTGCTGCCCGCCACCTTCTACACGCCCTTCTCCCGCTACTACGCCCAGCCCCGGCCCTACCGCCCGCACCGCCGCAGGCCCAGCGCCTTCCCCCTCACTTCGCTCCCCAACCTGCCCTACGACACCCCGGGCCGCTCTGTCCACTTCTTTCGTGGGTCCTAGGCCTCAGACCTATTTCGGACCAGAAGCCTCTGCCAGGAAATTCAAGCTACTACATCCAGACTTCATCAGCTACCTGAGGGAGAGGTAGGTGTGCAAGGGGGGGGTTGGGTGCACGAAAGCTCCCCTCCATCCCCCCTGCACACCAACCCCCCCCACCGCTGCGAGCCCCTTATGGTCCTATGCTGTAACCTGTGGCGAGAGCGAGTCTGTGTAGAGGCCCGGACACAGGCTGCCCAAGGCGACCTCATCTCACCCCTAAGTGTGTGGCGGGGGCGGGGGGAGGGCAGTGTCCCTTGCCCCTCCCTGGGGACATCCTGGTGGTCACCAGGTAAGTACCAGCAGCAAGCAGAGACAGGGATGCTGTTGAGCATCATACAATGACCCAGAACGCCCCCACAACAAAGAACAAGCGGGCCCCGAACGTCAACTGTGCCATGGCTGAGAGGCCCTGCTGTGGCCCCCAGGCTGGCATCCCCAGAGAGCAGGTGAAGGGTGGCGAGCCGATCTGGGGAGGCAAACGGGTGTCCAGCACTCACAGCCCCATTCAAGAGAGGTAGAAAGGCTGGCAGGGGCGAGGCGGTGTGTCTGGCGAAGCTTACATGTGAATCCCGGGCCAAGGTCAGGCCTTGGCCACCCATACAGCGGCCTCACTTTTGGATTTTGGGTGTGTGGGCACACTTCTCTCACCAGCGACTCCCGGGCGCAGGGAGGTTCCCTGCCCCTTATGTCCCTCGTAAGGGATTCCTGCTTGGCTAGAGACTGGGGATGGAGAGAAATATGGTCTCAGGCTAAATACATGGGCCACCTGTCCCCTACCCAGGCTGGTTACTGAGCCAGGGGTGAAGGCAGGTGTTGCAGAGAGGAAAGGGGGGCCAGGCTGGGTTCAGGCGTCTAGAGGGGGAAAGAGGGAAGGATCGTTCCTCTGGTTCTTCTGCACGGGCCTGCTCCTCTTTCTCGCTCCACTCTGTTACTCAGACTTTTGCATTTGCTTCATTTAGTTTCTTTCTTCCTGAGTGGGGAATGGCCTGCACTAGAAGAGCCAGGAAGTTCTAAAGGGTTTCCCAGCCAATCTGAGTTGGTAGCCAGACGGTGTTAAGGGCACAACCATCGAGTGAGACCTACACCTCCTTCTTAAGTTTTGATGCCATTTTTCGTCTCCAGGTTTTTGAAATCAAAGTTGATTAACACAAATTTTGGAGACCTATATATGCCTAGTACTGGGGCTCTCATGCTGCTGACGGCTTTGCACACCTGTGACCAGGTAAGAGGCCTTCCCTCTCAGGGGCCCGCAGCAGCAGAGGACTGGTGTGGGTGGAACCTAACCTGATCTGTGACAACCCCTACAAGAGGACTGGGTCACGCTTGGACCTGGGACTCGGCCTCTACCCTGTGGGGGAGTGCCACTCCTGAACTGCCTCCACACGGGCTTTCCAGGGGCCTTCCTGGGACAGGTGTGGGGCCAGTCTTGCTTGCCTCCAGCAGCCACCTGCCTTGGCACCTCTGTCCTTCACCCCTAGGGTATTTAAGGCGCATGTTATTAAATTGTTCTTGTGAAAGGGAATCTCAGCATAAGTGGTTAAACATCCTTTTAGGAGTAAATTCTGGAACTGAGCTGGGCAACAGGTTTAGCCTTCCACATACAACCTTTGAAATCACTGCATAAGAATGTTCCAGGTATGGTGCTGCCCACATGATCCCAGCAGAGGTTAAGCAGCAGTTTTTTTCTTTTCTTTTTCTTTTTAAGATTTTACTTATGTATTCATGAGAGACACAGAGAGAGAAGCAGAGACATAGGCAGAGGGAGAAGCAGGCTCCCTGCAGGTAACCTGATGTGGGATTCGATCCCAGGACCCTGGGATCCTGCCCTGAGCTGAAGGCAGATGCTCAGAGCCACCCAGGTGGCCCAAAGCAGCCGTCTCTTGACCGTGCTCCTGGTAGAATGAGCCACAAGTAGCCATAGACTTTTGCCTCCAACTCAAGCTTAATAATGGAGAGCATGGCTTTGATCAGGAATTGGAGGGATCCCTGGGTGGCGCAGTGGTTTGGCGCCTGCCTTTGGCCCAGGGTGCGATCCTGGAGACCCGGGATCGAATCCCACATTGGGCTCCCGGTGCATGGAGCCTGCTTCTCTCTCTCTGCCTGTGTCTCTGCCTCTCTCTCTTTCTCTCTCTGTGACTATCATAAATAAATAAAAATTAAAAAAAAAAAAGGAATTGGAGAGCTGAGTTTAAAACCCACCCAGCCTGGCCATCACTAGCTGGTGACTGAGGACCTGCTCGGTTACCTCTCTGAGCATTTCCCCATTTTACAAATGGGGATAACACCGCAGATTATGTTGAGGCTGAGAGAATGTATTCAAGAGCCCAGTATCTTTGACACAGCATCTAAGGAAGGCCGGGGGACCGTGCCTTCACATAGCTCAGTAAATGCCAATTCTTGACTATCCTTGTCCAGGTTAGTGCCTATGGATTCATCACAAGCAACTACTGGAAATTTTCTGACCACTATTTCGAGCGAGTTAAGAAGCCACTGATATTCTATGTCAACCACGACCTGTCCCTGGAAGCCTCCCTGTGGAGGGACCTGCACAAGGCCGGCATCCTTCAACTGTACCAGCGCTGACCCTGAAGTACCCACACCCTCTGTTCTCTCAGAGCCACGGCCCCTCATGTGGCCAAAGCTGCATCTGGTCTTTTTAGCCTCCAAAAAGGGCTCCAGCCCTCCTCCACCCACCCCTTCTTCTCTAGAGAACATTAGGAGGTGGATTTGTGACCGTCATTGCAGCCTGTTCGTTGTTGAGACACCCCATCTTACTCTTGGTTTCTCTGAGGAAACTCCCCGCTGGGTTGGAGACAGACCTCCCAACCTTAATGAAGACAAAAGACTGATCTGCTGGACGTTTCAAAACTGAAGGTAACACAAGATGACACTGTGACCCTCACCAGCAAAGGCCAGACATTCTTCATAGGGAAGTATCTCAAAGCCAGCAGTTGGTACTGAAGCTTAGGACGTTGGTAGAGTGACTGAAGGCATCTCCGCTGACCAGGGTCAAGCAGCAGTACAGGCAAACACACTCCCCAGCCAGACCCTCCCATGAGCGTGGCCAGCTCACAGCACCTCCAGAGCGATTTCACTCTAAAACACACCTGAACAACCTGAGGACATGACCACCTTCCTTCTGCCCCATGACAGTGGGAGTGCAAAAGGCAGATTGTAATTTGAACTAGGTACTCGCATAAATGATGGGATGACCATTGTGTCTTTTTTGCGCGTTGGGGGCGGCGGGGGTAATAGGCAGGGGAGGTATACCACGGAGTGTTTAGCATGCACATCACTCAGAAAATTCAAGCCCCATGGGCAAGCCCTGGTATTTTGACAGAGGTCAACTGCACAGAAGGCTGCCTAAGTCCCACTGGAGATGTATTACCACCTACCACCGAAAGGATGACATCACGGCTTCGGTAAATCTGGATTTAGTGGATAAGCAGTTTCATTTTAGACAGAGCACATGGGCTTCTATTGGAAGGGTAAGGCTCAACTAACCCAAGTTATCACCACCTAGCCCTTAAGCCCTGGGATTTACTGGCCTGATGACTAGTAGCCTGACAGTCTGACCTAGTACACTGTGCAAGCCTCAGGGGTTGGGTGGAGGGGGTCTCTCCTGGGCTGGCTGGCAAGGGCCTTCCCAAGGGGACACGGATCACCACTAGCCAATCCACCAAAGCCCACGACATGGCCTCTGGCTCTGGGGTTTTGAAAGGCAGATCCTATCAGCATATTTAACAAGAGGGCTGAATTTTGTCAACAGAATCAAAATTCTACTTTAGAAATTCAGGTGTGATACGAAGACCTGGGCTTTCACGACTACACAGCTACTTGAAAGCACCGATTCCTGCAGCTGGTGAGCAGTTTAGACGGAGGGGAGCAGGGGGCAGGTCAAGTACTGCAGGAGGCCAAGGCCTCTCCCTTTAGCTTGGCAACATCAAACTGTCCCTTGGTCTCAATGACAGCAGTGTCCCAAGTAGGTTTCTTTGCCTAGTACTGGTCCAAAAAGGACACTGCGGGAAACTTGGTACTGAGTGTCCACTCGGCCATCTGACAGTGACCTTTACTAGTAAAGAAATCCAATCACCTTGATAAGCCAGCACAGCTCAAATTAGGTGTCTGACCCTCTTATGTCCAGAACATTTTATTGAAAATGCTCAAGTTGTTGGTGGATGGCGCCCCATTAAGAAGGGCAGAAAATCAATTTAGTGGAGAACTTACAAGATAAAACCTCTGATCCTATCCCATGTTAACTTTAATTATTAACAGTATTCTGTGAAACCCGGGGCAGCTTGGTGGCTCAGTTAAGCATCTGATTTTTTAAGACTTTAAGACGGTGCACACAAGCAGGGGGAATGGGAGTAGATTCCCCACTGAGCGCAGAGCCTGAAGCACCTGACTTGATTTCATTTCAGCTCCTGATCTCAGGATTGTGGCACTGGGCATGGAGTCGGCTTGAGATTCTCTTTCTCCCCTTAAAAATATTCTGGGAAACATTCATTCATACAAGAATGTGTTAGCTGAGTCACAGAATAAAATCCCATTATGAACATCTCAACGTGAAATCCATGTTACAAAGTCCATTTTTAAAAATGTTTATTTGTGCTTCAAAACTTAAGCCTGAGTGACAAACATTAACTTCACAGGAAATCCACTCGGAGAAACCTCCTCCTGGGCTGAGCACCTGCTTCCTCGCAGGCTCCCAAACAGAGCACGTACATGTTCACTGCGTTCAGTTTACAATCATGGTCTTCTTGCCCACACGCAAGTTACCCCCAGATCAGCTCAACTGTGGCATTCAGGATGGTCTCAAGTAGCCTTTGGCTCCTTTTTGAAGAGAAAGCCCAAAGACTTCTTATTCTCCTTTTGGGGGATTATTTTCTAGGCATTAACAGCAACAGAGGCCGTGCTGCTCCAGCTGGCATCACTGGGGGAGAACGTGTAAGACCAAAGAGAGTCACTTGATGGATCAGTAATGAGGGGACTCCAACCTGAAAGCCAAATGTAAAGAAAAGGCAATGGTAGCAGCGCACATTCTAACAAAACATTAGATCAGGCCCATGCTGTTGAAGGGACCCTCAGGCAGTCTCAATGCAGGGTGGTCTGCTGCCCAGAGGACTTGAAACTGTAGCCCACTCTCAGGAGCTAATGCTCAAAGGGAACGGGGTCTGGCACGAGGCCAGCATAGAACCACCATTAAGCATTAGGGACATTCTCATTCAACCCCTTTCTGGAGGTAAAGCTTTTTCAAGTCAAACCTGAAGGTCTCTGAGTCTCACGAAACAGTCAAATCTACTCTGCACAATGATAATGCCGGAAGTCAACTTCCCCACTTGCTAAACACATCCTTTGTTTCACTTACCGGCTGTAAACTGTCAGGGCCAATTCTCAGGCTTACTAAATCCCACCCCAAATCTGGCTTCCTTGGGGACTGAACAATTATGTGACCTTAAATATAAAAAAGCCCACACACACCTCCCAATTTCAACAGAAAAGAGCAATCTGCCCACTTCAAGCCTGGCATTTAAATGGGAACAAAGCCAGACACCCTCCCAGCCCAGCAGCACGGGGCTACTCTCCTGCTCACATGCTGGCCGACCCAGCCCTCGGCGACCCAACGAGCAGCACCATGCCAGTCATGCTGCCCAGACAGGATCCGAGCCAACCCTAGGAGAGCTCCCTGGGGTTGTAAACAAAGCACCTGGAAACCAAATAGCTCCTGCTGTGCCATGGCAGCCCTTCTTTCCTCATTGTCACGATATGGTGCAGAGATAAGGTCACAGCCCTGCCATAGCTGGCAGACTTCCGACATTCCCGTCTGTCTCAAAGAGCGCATTCATTTCCTTGAAATATAGGACAAGCACTCTTTCATTCCACAGTAAGAACATGACCCAGAACTGGGCTCCCTGCCCATTTCTGTCACCTCTTATAGCTGTTCCCTCAGGACCATTCATCAAGGGGCCTAGAGCATGACAGGGCAGCCACACCATCGGCTTGCAAGTTGTAGAGGGATGATGTGCTCGACTGGGGCCTTAGCAGGGTAGACCGGATTCCCTCTGGAATCCACTCAATTTAACCCCTGATAAAGCCTGAACTTTTAAGAGCACAGACACAAACCCTGAAGCCTCAGAATTCACGGTTTCCCTTCAGTCGAGATTTTCAGACAGGGATAACTAAACCATCATAGGCTTGTGGGGCTAGAGGGACACAAAGGATGGAAACATAAAGACTATAAGCAACAGGGGAAGGCTTCTTTCACTTACCTCAGGCAAAGTAGTTCAGTTGTCTCACACACTGCAGATATCTGGCAAAACAAAAAACAAAAAACAAAAAAACCCGTGTTAAAATCTCCCTGCCACTCAGCACAATCCTAAACCTAGGGCAGGAGCAGCAAAATAAACATCCCACCCAAGTCTATTTGGAAGGTCTCTACTTACATACAGAAGTCAGTCTCCTCTTTGGGCCCAGGGCAGTGGACCCGGCACTCCTACTGGCATCTGCAGAAGCAGGTCCTACAGAAGCAGGATCCTTTTCCAGCCTCAGAAACCAAGGCTGAGACTGCTGCATCTGGCAAGGGGAAATTGCAAAAGAAAAATCTATTCAAGATATATACAGACAATTCTCAAGTAGGTCACTTTCAAATCACAAGCCTCCACTTTCTATAAGGCGAACTTGGGAAACTGAGCTTCAGACATCCATAATCCACAGGAAGGCCTTTGCCTTCAGACAGGGATAACTTTACATCATCATGGACTCAGCTCCCACCAACCTGCCAGCCCAAAGGGCTGATGCTTCTAGAACACACACACAGGGACACCTGGGTGGCTCAGCGGCTGAGCATCTGCCTTTGACCCAGGGCGTGATCCTGGAGTCCTGGGATCGAGTCCCACATCGGGCTCCCTGCATGGAGCCTGCTTCTTCCTCTGCCTATGTCTCTGCCTCTCCATCTGTGTTTCTCATGAATAAATAAAATCTTAAAAAAAAAAAACATACACACACAGACTACTTTTTCCTTACAAAATTCTGCTTTACTTGCCTCATGAGAATTCTCAATCTTGCTTCAAAGGTAAAAACTAGTGAAACCTAGTTGCCTAGATGTACCCAGCAACCCAGACCACACTCATGGACACTGCCTGCCCTTTTAAAGACTGCCTACCTCGGCACAAAATGCGTAACAGTGGAGTACATATGGAATGTATGTGCCAGTTGTCAGTAAAATGTGTGGTTACTCCTTTCAGGGATCCTGTGAAGGCCAGCTGTACAAAAGGAACCTGCTGCCAAGAGGCACCATCACACAAGGTCATTTCTCCTTCACTCACCTCTGCATATGAAATGATCCACAGAGCAAGATCAGTTTTTTTTAAGCAGAGGATTATAGATCTGTCTCAAGAGCTACTTAAAAATAGCCAGCAGTGCTATAATCTTGCTATAATAAAAATCCCTGAGCTAAAAGTAGATCAGATCATCTAATTGTTCCTATACGATTGCTCTTGGGATGGCCACACAATCCTTGGGCCTCACTGCGGGGTCATTCTCATCTGTGGTTGGAGGTGTACTTGTAACATTTCGTAGGTGGTTTGGATGTAATAGCCAAGTCCGGAAAATAGTAACCCTATTTTACAAAGCAATAAAGCTCTGGTTGTTATCTGGTTAACAGGCTAAGACTAGAGCCCAGATCTCTCGTTAGTTTATTTATTTTTTAGATTTATTTTTTCATGAGAGACACAGAGAGGGGAGGGGGGCAGAGACACAGGCAGAGGGAGAAGCAGGCTCCATGCAGGGAGCCCAATGTGGGACTGGATCCCAGGTCTCAGGATCACGCCCTGAGCCGAGGGCAGACACTAAACCGCTGAGCCACCAGGCTGCCCTCTCAAGTTAGTTTAATATAGTTTCTTTTTTTTTTTTTTTTAATATAGTTTCAATCTCAGCTCTGCTGATATTCTGGGTAGATAGTTCTTTGTGGTGGAGGCTCTCTTGTATATTGTAGGATACTTCGCAGCACCCGTTAGATTCCAGTTGAGAATTGGTCAAATCGTCCCGACACACACTGGACTATCTTACTTATATCTTAATGAAACTGAAAAAAATAGCACTTCCACAGAATCTGCCATATTTTTACGGTTCTTTAAAAAAAAAAAAGCAAAAACAGGGCAGCCCTGGTGGCCCAGCAGTTTAACGCCATCTTCAGCCCAGGGTGTCATCCTGGAGATCTGGGATGGAGTCCCACGTTGGGCTCCCTGCATGGAGCCTGCTTTTCCCTCTGTCTGTGTCTCTGCCTCTCTCTCTCTCTCTCTGTCCCTCATGAATAAATAAAATCTTAGAAAAAAAAAACACAAAAAAACAAACAGCTGTGTAACTCTGTTTACTCAATACAAAGGAGAAAATACCGACCCTACTTCAGATTGTTTTAACAAACACTGGGAGGCTGCTTGGCAAGGAGGCTAGCAGAGTTCCACATCCCTTCCCTTATCTGGGCAGTTAACAATCCTAGGAGGCTCACATCACTGAAATCTCAGTCAGTCACTAAAGGGACACTAATCTATGCATCTCTGCCACCAGAGCTTAAAAAAAAAGCTTCCCAGTTATACACAGAATTTTCTTTTTTAGAGATTTTATTCATTTATTCATGAGAGACAACAGAGAAGGCAGACACATAGGCAGAGGGAGAAGTAGCCTAATGTGGGACCCTAAGGATCACATCCTGACCGGAAGGCAGATGGTCAACCACCCAGGTGACCCTATACAGAATTTTCATCACAAAAATTCTTACACTCGACATCTTAAGACAATGGTTTTTTCTTTTCTTTTCTTTTTTTTAAGATTTTACTTATTTATAAGAAAGACAAAGAGGCAGAAGGAGAAGCAGACTCCCTGCAGGGAGCCAGATGTGGGACTCCATCCCAGGACCCCAGGATCACACCCTGAGCCAAAGGCAGATGCTTAATGGCTGAGCCACCTGGGCATCCCAAAATGGTATGGTTCTCACGGGATTTTTTTTTCCTTTTCTACAATCAACACCTTTAATCTCTAAGGGAAATGTAACAAAGTATATTCTAAGAGAAATGAGGTCAAGATGTTATTCTCAAGATTGGCTATCTAAGAAGCAGGGGCCTCAGGACGCCTGGGTGGCTCAGTAGTTGCGTGTCTGCCTTTGGCTCAGGGCGTGATCCCGAAATCCAGGGATCGAGTCTCGCATCCCGCTCTCTGCATGCAGCAAGCTTCTCCTCCCTCTGCCTCTCTGTGAAAAAATGAATAAAAACCTTAAAAAAAAAAAAAAAGCTGAGCCTCAAGGCATCAAAACTCTTCACAAAAGATGCCCTTTCAGACAGAGATGACTTTAAATCATCCACATACACTTCCAAACCCGACCGAAGCCCATTTTCCTAAGCCTCCCCGCCAACCTCGTGCGCGGCAACCGGTTTGAATCCAAACAGTGACACCTAGCGGCGCCGAGTCGCACTGGCACAGGCCCTGCTCGCTTCCAGGACCCGGGTCCGGTTTTTTTCTCACCCTAACGGGATGCGTGCGTCCACGTGTTCCTAAGAACCGAACTTAAAATCGGTACAGTGGGATCCCCGGGTGGCTCAGTGGTTTGGCGCCTGCCTTTGGCCCAGGGCGCGATCCTGGAGTCCCGGGATCGAGTCCCGCGTCGGGCTCCTACAGAGACCCTGCTTCTCCCTCTGCCTGTGTCTCTGCCTCTCTCTATCATTAATTAATTAATTAATTAATTAAATCTTTTAAAAAAATAAAATTAGTAAAGTAAAGCGTGCGGCGGCCGGGTGCGGCAGGCCTGCCCACCATCTCGACTTTCTCACTTCTGGTCACCACCCAGGCCCTGCCAGCACCCATCCTTACCCATTTCAGGGCTCCATTCGCTACTTTTAAGCTTCAACCTGCAGGTCTGCGACGCAAAGAAAAGCCTGTACGGGAAGAGAGAGGGAAAAAAAAAAAAAAATGAACATGGAAGGTAGGGCGCAGAGGATTATGGCTTTCCAAAATCTACAAGCCCCTTTACTACTATTTGTAGGATTAAATACGAGCCACTGGGGATCCCTGGGTGGCTCAGCGGTTTAGCACCTGCCTTCAGCCCAGGGCCTGATCCTGGAGCCCCAGGATCGAGTCCCACATCAGGCTCCCTGCATGGAGCCTGCTTCTCCCTCTGCCTGTGTCTCTGCCTGTGTCTCTGCCTCTCTCTCTTTCTCTCCCTGTGTCTCATGAATAAATAAAATCTTTAAAAAAAAATAAAAAATAAAAAAAAATAAATACGAGCCACTGACCAGGGCCGACCTCGGGGCACTCCAGGACCCTCACGTTAACACCAGATGTGGATTAAGAACTACCACCGGCAGCCTCCCGTGGGCGGGCCCGGGAGACCCGCAGAGCACACACGGGGCTGCACAGGCTGGAGGACCCCCCCCCCAGGAGGGGCCGGGGCCCTCTGACTCCAAGGGGGGCCTGAGCTCTCTCTTCCTTCAATCGTCAACACTCGCGCCGCTCAGAAAGCGTTTTCCGGTCCAGCATCTCAACTAACCCAACCACCCTACGAGGAAGACCGGCTTTACCGTCATCATCCCGCCCCCGAGGAAAGGGAGGCCGAGCGAACTAGCGCCGGGCCAAGGACGATCCCGTCTGCCCGCCTCCACAGCCTTACCACCGCCAGAGGCTCCAGACTCCCGGTCCCGGTCGGGCCAGCAAGGAGCCGCCATGACTGCCAGCCACGCGGCCTGCCTCGACAAGAAGGCGGGGCTGCGCCTGCGCACAAGTCTTCCCAGCGGTCTCGCGAGAGGTATCGCGATGTTGAGAGGGGCCTCATGGGAAATGTAGTCCGAACAACCTCCGCCGGAGCCGGCGTGGGGTGGGGCGGGGGTGCGGGAGCAGCATCCTCAGCGCGATTCTGGAGCCACGGAGACGGTTGTTTCAGTTACAGGCATTTATCTACTGAGTGCACAGATTTTCCCTGGCGTAGAGTGGGGTGGCGCAGAAGGTTCGAGAGGGGTCTCCCTAGGGGAACGGGTGAGGACACCAGGGCCCGGCTGGACTTCACCTGGGGCGGAAAGGGGTCATCTGCGTGCTGGGTTGCGCTAGAGAAGAGGCGGCAGGTTCCCGGGGCCGGTTGGGCCTAGGGCTCCGCCGCCCTGCGGGTTGGGGCGAAGGCGGGAGGCCCGGGCGGCAGGGGGCGCCCGCGAGCGGGGCTCGGAGCGGCCCAGAGCCCGGGCGGTGGGTGATGCAGCAGAGCCAGAGCCATTCACTAGTCCGAGCCAGAATTTACACCTACTTGGAAATTAGTTCATTTTTTAATACTGTATTTATTTATTTATTTATTTATTTATTTATTTATTTATTTATTTATTTTTAAAGATTTTCTTTATTTATTCATGAGAGACACAGAAAGAGAGAGAGACACAGGGAGAGGGAGAAGCAGGTTCCCTGCAGGGAGCCCGATGTGGGACTCGATCCCGGGACCCCAGGATCACACCCTGGGCCAAAGGCAGGCACTAAATCGCTGAGCCACCCGGGCATCCCTTCAAATTTTTATTTATTTATTCATGAGAGACAGAGAGGAAGAGGCAGAGGGAGAAGCAGGCTCCTACGGGGCTGGGAGCCGGATGAAGGACTTGATCTCAGGACCCCGGGACAACGACCCGAGCCCAAAGGCAGATGCTCAACCAGAGCCACCAAGGTGCCCCTGGAAATTAGTTTAAACTTATAAGACAGAAAGGCCTTTTCAGCATTAGCCTCCCCCCATTGTCATCAACCCGCTAGTGACTATGCAGTGGCATTTAGTCTGGGTTATGTTATTCTGTGTATGGCCATAGGTCGCAGGTGCTTATCATCAAGTTGCCACACTTGTTTATGTTTGCCTCCCTTGATTGGATTGTAAGCTCTTCTAGGCGGGAAGCATCTCTCGCTCGCTCGCTCTTCTAAAGACGTATTTATTTTACAGAGAGAGTGTGCACAGCAGAAGGAGGGAATCTCAAGCAGACTCCCCACTGATCACGGAGCCCGCCCCAGGGCTGGGTCCCACGACCCTGAGATCATGACCTGAGGGGAAACCAAAAGTCCAAGGCTTAACGGACTGAGCCACCCAGGCGCCCCACGAGACATCTCTTTTACTTTTTTTTTTTCTTTTTAATTGCCTCCCAGAGTCTGGTTGTTATTCCTCTGCCTCTGCCCACGTACGCAACAGATAATCATTGACTCACTTGGCAGTAACATCTGTCTTATGAAACTGGCCCTTGCATTTCTGTCTTGCCCTTGAAGACAGTTTTGTAGAACAGGGAAAGGAGGAATGGGCTCTCTCCCTGAAAACTAAGTTCCTTTCATTTTCAGACTCGGAGAAGGAGTTTTGAATGTGGAAGTTCCCCGGAGCTGCTTGGATGGAGGCAAGGGACCCGCTGCAGGCCGAACAACAGCGAGAGTGGATACCGCATAGCACTTACCATGCGCCCTCCACTCCTGGAGTAGAACGCACACCGATTTGTTTAATGTGCACCGCTGCCCTCTGAAGGGCACTATCACTACCTACATTTCGCAGATGAGGTGAGGTGAGTGAGAGATGAGGTGACTTTCCCAAATTCACACAACTAGTGATTGCTGGGGTCAAGGTTTGAGGCCAGCCTGCAGAGTCCATACTCTCACCACTAAGATGTACTGAACTTCGTATATCTATACATCAGTCTTACTATAGGGCTTTTGGCCATGGGGGAGAGGAGCAAAGAAGGGTTTTGTGTGTTTGCAGGGGTGGTTGGGGATGAAATTACTCAGGGGAATGATGGGCACCTGTTCCGTAGTTTTGAGCCACTTTATGGCAAGCAGAGTGAGGAGGAGAGGCTGCAGGGGCTGATGGCTGCAAGACTGGGGGTCTCTGGGCTCTAGCAGGGCTGTCTTGAGTCCCAGACTGGTTGCCAGCTAGTGTGTGTGAGGAGCATGGAGCATTCTTCTGGGCTTGAGAGCCACAATGCCACGGGCCACAGTGGAGCTTTCACACCTGACAGGACACCTAGTGGAAGAGCAGCAGGTTCACCGCAGGTGGCATGTCTCGGGTGGCTGGGCAGGCGCGGAGAGACCAGAGCAAAACGCAGTGAGATTAAAATCTAATAAAAAGATTTAAATAAAAAGATTTAAATAAAATCTAATAAAAAGATTTTATTTATTTATTCATGAGAGACACAGAGAAAGAGAGAGAGGCAAAGACACAGGCAGAGAGAGAAGCAGTCTCCATTCAGGGAGCCCGATGTGGGACCCGATCCCAAGACCCCAGGATCAGGGATCCCTGGGTGGCGGAGCAGTTTGGCGCCTGCCTTTGGCCCAGGGTGCGATCCTGGAGATCCAGGATCGAATCCCATGTCGGGCTCCCGGTGCATGGAGCCTGCTTCCCCCTCTGCCTGTGTCTCTGCCTCTCTCTCTCTCTCTCCCTCTGTATGACTATCATAAATAAAAAATTAAAAAAAAAAAGACCCCAGGATCATGCCCTGAGCCAAAGACGGATGCTCAAGCACTGAGCCACCCAGGTGCCTCAAGATTATTTTTTTAATTAATTTATTTATTTGAAAAACAGAGAGAGCACACAAGCAGGAGGAGTGGCAGGCAGAGGGCACACTGTCTGGGCAGTCCAGAAATAGGGAAGGATGGGGCACCTGGTGGCTCCATTGGTTAAGCATCTGCCTTCAGCTTGGGTCATGATCTTAGGGTTCTAGGTTCGAGCCCCATGTCAGGCTCCTCAATCAGCAGGAAGCCTTCTTCTCCCTGTGCCCCTCTGCTCCTGCGCTCTCTCTCTCTCTCTCTCTCTCTCTCTCTCTCTCTGTCTGTCAAATAAATAATCTTTAATGGGACACCTGGGTTGAGCATCTGCCTTGGATTCAGGTCGTGATCCCGGGGTCCTGGGATCAAGTCCTGTGTCAGGCTCCCTGGAGGGAGCCTGCTTCTCCCTCTGCCTGTATCTCTGCCTCTCTCTCTGTGTCTCTCATGAATAAATAAATAAAATCTTTTAAAATAAATAAATAATCTTAAAAAAAAATCAGGGCCGCCTGGGTGGCTCAGTGGGTTAAACATCTGCCTTTGGCTGAGGTCATGATCCCAGGGTCCTGGGATTGAGCCCCATGTTGGACTTCCTGCTCAGCCAGGAGCCTGCTGCTCCCTCTCCCTCTGATGCCCCCCCTGCTGATCTCTCTATCTGTGTGTCAAATAAATAAAATCTTAAAAAAAAAAAAAAAAGAAAAAAATCAGTGGAAAGACAACAGAGAACGCATCAGATTTCTGAAGGAGCAGGCGGGGGTTCAGAGCTGTAGAAATCAAAGCATCAATGTTGTGATTTCTTCTTCTTCTTCTTCTTCTTCTTCTTCTTCTTCTTCTTCTTCTTCTCCTCCTCCTCCTCCTCCTCCTCCTCCTCCTTCTCCTCCTCCTCCTTCTCCTTCTTCTTCTTCTTCTTTTTTTTTAAAGTAGGCTCCACACCCAACGTGGGGCTTGAACTCAAGACTCTGAGATTAAGAGTCTAGTCCTCCCTAAGCCAGCCAGGCACCCCGAAGTCTGGGACACTTGAGTTTTTACGTGCAGTGGAATTGTTACGTAGCCGTCATCCTAGGCTAGCGTGGATCTGTATTCACCGACACGGAGTCCCCTAATCTAGTGGTCAGTGACAGAAGTAGATCCCAGGCTGAGCAAGGCCACAGTCCTCGGTGCGGTCAGGGGGCCTTGGCTCTGAGCACGGAGGTGAAATCTAGTCCGTTGGCCTGCTGTGCTCAGGTGGCTAACTCACTGGGTTCCATCCGGATAGGATTTCGGATACGGTACCCGAAAGCCACATTAATAGGAAACCAAGTCTTTGGAATATTGAGGTTAATTTCTTAACCTGGAGAGGAAGCTCTACCATTGTTGATAGGAACAGGAAGGTGGGTAAGAATATCCCAAGCAGTCAGCTGCTTCTGTCGGGCACAGTTGACCGGTGATTCACAGGCGGTTCATCTGTGTGGCAGCGCTGCTCATTGCCAGCTCACAGCTGTTCTTCCTCCATCTCACAAACAGAACTGGAGCTACTGGCCAGCTCGGTGCTTCAGTGGAGGCAAGCTCCTCCCCGGCCCTAAGGGCGAATCTTGAAGAGTCGGCACCAGACCCTTATGATAAATCTGTTCCTTCTGCCAGGAATTCAGAAAGGGGTTTGTGATGCAATTAAGGAAAGTTTGGGAAAGTTTTTCTTGTTTTTAAAAACAGCAGCCTCTCTTCTGGCTTTGGGAGGCTCTGAAGACTTGATGCTTGAGGCCGTGGCAGCCATCTTGCATCCATGAGGCTTGCCTCAAAGCCAGAGCCTAAGGTCTGACGATGGCAGAGTGGAAACAAAGGAAAAAGAGTCCTCATGGTGAACTGCCAAATTACCAGTCCTAGAGCCCCCTACCTTCAGACCTTTTGTTTCAACTCAAAGACACACATTTTTAAATTTTAATATTTCTGAATGCAAGGGGGCATCTCACAAGCAATGGCATGTTAGTTTCAGTGAAACACAGAATGATTAAAAAAAAAAAAAAACCAAAAACATTTATTTTAGGGTTGACTGGCTGGCTCAGTTGGATGAGCATCTGCCTTTGGCTCGGGTCTTGATCTTGGTCCTGGGATCAAGCCCTGGGCTTCCT